GCACGCCAGGGGTGGGGATGCCCTTGCACCCGGCGCCAGCATGTGCCCCGGGGCCGCCCGAGCGCCTTGTGACATCAAGATGCAGACCAAGATTGATGTCTACAATGCCGTAATCATCCCAGCGTTGTTATATGGAGCTTAAGTTTGGACTCCCTATAGATGACATATTAAAGATCTGGAGAAATTCGCCGGGGGCGGGGCCGGGCCAGGTTGTCGGCGGGCGCGCACAAATGCCCCGGTGGGCGCCATGGCACCGTGTTGGGGACCACTGCCATAGACCTTCAGTAGAAACATTAAAAGGCTTTCTTCTTCATCCTAAGAACCCAATCACTACAATAAATGCAAATCCTTAAACAATGAATCTTTGAGGAATGTAAAACTGGATGGTATCAGTAATCTGATTATGTTATTTTCTAGAGATTGACAGGTTTCTCTTAACGCTGAAAAATTTAGGGACACAGAGTTATCTTTGTAGAGAGATACAAAAACTTGTTTAGCTTCATCCAGTCAGGATTAGCTTGTATCAGTGTTCCTGATGAGGAGTCTCCCATATCTAAAAGTTTTGATAAATGGATACAAATTCTTTACAGACTTATGGGTTTCTCTTCCTGTACTGGATTCAACTAGAATGGTATATTTCTGGAAATCCTTCTGTCCTGCAGATGGCGACACCTCCCTATATGATCTCTCTGACAGGAAAGTTGACATAGGCCTTGGAAAGGCAATTGTATTCTTCCCTAGAGCCTTGTTGCTGAATCACTCCACCAGCCCACAAGAGTGCGCATGTGCGTGCGCGCGCACGCACACACACACACACACACGTTTATTCTTGCAGGTTAGATAATGGTGTATAGAAAATATATAATGGCGTATAGAAAATATGCTGTTTTAACCGAACCACAAAATAAACAGAAAAGCTCCCTACTTTTAGGTTCATACAAGTCTTGTGGTAACTTCTGTGCAATCCAAGTCCTCGTTCTTTTGCTTTAGGGATTGCCTAAAGACAAATCCTTCAGGGATTGACTAAAGACAAATCCTTCATCAGAAGCTCTAGGGAAAGCCTGCAATGTTCATCCTTGAAAGATTATTAAGTTTTTAGCCTATTGTTAACTTTGCAGCATCTACAGCCAGTAAACCAGTAGCTCAAAAGGCTGTGAGATTAAGTACATGAGAGAACGTTTTTTGTTTTTTGGGTGTTTTGTTTTCATAAGCAAAGCTGGCATTTCCTGTCTTCAGAGAAAGTTTCTTTGATGAAACTAGGTGTGGAAGGAGAGAGACTTTTCAGCTGTATAAAGTCTTCCTTTCTAAAATCCTAATGAGAACTGTACCCATATTTCTGGTTGCAAAGATAGCTCTTCTTTCAGCTACACAGCTATGTTTCTCGGTTCTGGATTCTGTAATGTCAGAGTCTATATTTCCAAGGGAATGGGAACTGGGGACAGCGGTTTCCAATTGCTGCAACATGGATACTTCCTCCTCTGTAGCTTTGTCCCTTTTCATCTTCCCCAAAAAGAGGACAGGTCTACAGCAGTGTTTTTCAACCTTTTTAAAAAAAAAAAAAAAAAAAAAAAAAAACCCCCCAAACCAATTCCCCCCCCCCCCACTCTGACCCAATGCCCTTTCACTCCCCCAGGGCCATGCACCAGACATATAGTAACCCTACCTTTGAAGTGCCTGCTCCCGCTGTCTGGCCCTGCCTCGGCGGCTTGTCTGCAGGGAGCAAGTGGCCCACCAGCGCCATGCTCACCGTGTGGAGCTGTGCACTCCCACCCCAGCCTGGTGCCTCCTCTAGAGCAACTGCCCCCCGCTCTACGCCACTGATGGGGAAGGGGGGAGGTGTCCTTTGGAACAAAGCTCATTGTGCCGCTTCACCACCTTTTAGCTCCTCTCCACAGCGCCATGGGGAAGGGGCGATGGGGATGCATTGTAGTGAGCAGCTGGCCGGGGTGGAGGTAATGGTGCGTCTCCAGCTTCAGCTGCCCTGAGATCAGGGGTAGGGGCAGCTCAGCTGGGGCATGACTTATGCTTGTAGGAGTTGTGTTGCACACATTCCAGTAGCTCCACAGCATTATCAGTTCCCGCACTTGGTAATGGGGAATGATTGGTACCAGCATAAAGCTCTTTCATTCCGGATAGCATCTGTACCTCAGGCTGTTTTCCAGAGTCTAGACTGTCCTGGCAATGTGAAGCAGTGAGTGTTCTCTCTTGAAGTCTCAGCAATTATGGGTCAATGCGGACCATTTATATCAATGGGGAACATGGAAACCCATAGTGCTAATTTCCTAAGAGGAGATCTGGTTCTTCTGCAATTTGGGTGAAATAATCAAAGTCAGCTGCAGACAGGCTTTGTCCTTGGATCCAGAATTTGATTATGGAAACCATCCACCCTCTCTTTAACCCCCTAATCATTTTTTTTTCTGTCCATTTCCTGTCACCTAGAATGATGTTTAGCCAGCTATCCAGATTTCCCCCCCAGGGACCGCATCAACAAAAAATCTAAGTGCTGAGCAATTAGATCAGATCTGTATGCTAATGTCCAGAGGGTACAATAGGGGATTCACCCTTTCCAGTTTCTGTGAGTTTATGCTTGTTTGTTTCCTTTGGACTTGTTTGGCTCTCTCTTTTTTCTCCTGTTTGTTTTTAACATTGGTTATGGATAAGCTTTAACAGATAGGTGGGTTTTGCAACCGCTTTTTAAATTATCTGTGTAAGCTCCTCTGGTCCACTGATTCAATGAAACTGTTCCCACACTCTGGGTGTCTCCCTGCCGCCAATTACTGTAGTGTTCATGATTCACTCCTCCTGTGGGAGAGCACAGACAGTACAGGCATGTACTGGAAGAGGGAGTGATCTTCACATTAAGGCAGATATATGAAGGATGGATCAGGAAGAGGAGCAAGGAATCCAGTGAGGGCGTAATTTGAAGGCAAAGGAAGAAAAGTGTGTCAATGAGATGAGGTGCTGATTTAGTCAACAATACATGCTCCTGAGGGGTCAGAGCAGGTGGCAGGGGCTGAAATAGTGAAAATTATCATCTAAAATTTTAAGAGGAGATGGAAGGTAAAAAACATAGGGTGAAACAGGTTCAGCATATGCAGGGAAGATAGCAAAGTGAAAGAGAGCTGGCATCGGTGCCGCGTCTTGGAGGAGTCTACTTTGCTCACTGTTACCTTCACTGCTTTCCCAATTATCTCCTTGCTTTTGGAAGACAATCAGGAAGCTTGGTTCCCATGCTCACAAACGTCCTCAGGTTTGCGTGATGGGATGCTCTCAGGTTTTCTGTCAGGAGCCACACAGAGTATGGCTTTTCACTTAGAATCATAGGGTTGGAAGAGACCTCAGGAGGTCATAGAATCCAACAGCTAGCAGTAGGAGCCATGCAAGTGCTGTCCTGGCCCAATTACATACACCCATACAAGAACAGGTCTCCAGAGCTTCTGAGTTTGGCCAAAAGACTGTAGGCCTCCATTTGCCATGTGTGCAAATTCTTCCTATTGTCTCTAGCACAGATGAGTGATCAGCTCTTTGTTTGAGAGTAGATGGAGCGGAGATGGTGGAACAAGCAATGGGGGGGAGCAGAAATTGAGATTTGGGAGGCATTTTCTTTCCTACTTTATGGTATCTCTATTAATGGAATAATATGTGTCTGGTCAGTATGAGACGAGCTATCCTGGTGCTACTCCTGGTGTTTAGGAGAGGAAGGCATAGCACAGGCAAGGTGCTTCACTTGATAATACTATGTGTTTTGATCTGGCTGATTTCTTCCCTAAGTGGGCAAAGTGACAGGCATTCTCAAGACAGCCCAACAGGAATTTTAACACTGTTGTTAATTGTTTGGGGTATGTAGGTTTCTAAAAAAAATCCCTCACCTTTCTGAAATCTACTAGGGCCACTGCAATCAACAGGAATATTCCATGTGCTCAGTGGAGCTGACAGCCTCCGTGGGCCCCTGAGCAAGTCTGGCTCTGCACTCCTGGAAGTGAGGGGGCTGAGGGTGGAAGGGGTGGAACCAAGGGCAGTCAGCCCTCAGCGCTTCCCAGAGCCTGGCACAACTGCCCCCCAGCCCTTAGCACTGCCGGAGCATGTCGCTCTCCTGCAGCAATTTAAAGGGCCTGGAGCTCTGGCCTCCACCTTTGAATCACCAGGCCCTGTGGCAACTGCCCCTTTGTTCCCCCTGTTGGCAGGCCTGCATGCACTGGCCTCCAACATGAAACCATTGGTAGCTGGGGCAGAGGTTTTTGTAAGCAGAACATCCTTGACAGTAGGCTTCCATATTGCTGTCATAACTCCCAGCAATCCCCGTGCGATCCATAGACCCCTGGATGCCTCCTTCTGATGTGAGGAACCATTTACAAATCTGAAGGGAAGTATCAGCAAGAATGGATGCTGTTCCTGTTGCTGCTAATTACCACTGGTTGCCCTTTTGTATATTCTAACCTCTCCAAAACATATATTTAAAAACTAAACTCAGACCTGCAGGAAATGCAGAGACATGAAGGTAACTCTGCTGTTGCCTCAAGTTGTTGACTAGAGAAATCCATGTTCTCCCTCAGAATTTGTGCCACGGCATGGCAGGAGAGGCGGACAGCAGGCGCAAAGAGAAAAATGACCCAAAGCAGATGAGGAGAAATTATAAACATAATCCCCTTATATCAAACGTTTTAGGTTGTGATAATTGAAAGAGTCTTTAAAATGCTAACCTCATACCACATAGGGCCAGATTCATTCCCATGCAATTCCATGAAATGCAGTACCATTAACCCAGGAAGAAATTTAGTCCACACTGTTGAAAGGCATAAAGCAAGTATAGTTGTTTAAGGGTGAGAGTTATGTGCTTTGCTCTTCTTTGTATGTGTGGGAAGGCAAACAAGGTATTCTGCATATCCTGAAAAAAGGGGTCAGATCATAAAAGAAATATATCTGAGTCATTTACACATATTAATAAATACTTTGTGGGAATTTTATAAATGACAATAAATTGTGAATATTGTACATTACAGGTGATGCTACAGTGACGATTACTCACAGATATACTCCAAAAGAGCAGCTGAAGATCCATACCCAACTAGCTGACATTATAATAGTAGCTGCAGGTAATACGAAGTGTCCTTAATACCACAGTGGCAAATGTTAAAAACTGACTAGGTGCTAATTTTACAGTATAAAAGTGTTACCTAAGCAGGTTATGATCCTGCTTGCTGAGGGAGCTTCGGTGGGTCTGCTTGTTTTAAGTAAGGGAAGATATGTGGTCCTCCGTTCTTGCCTGCATATTTGCAGATTCATAAACTAGTTTCTCATCATGAATGACACCTTTCCTTTAGGGAAGCTTAAGGGTGAACTCAGGAATGGAAACCAATCACTGCACAGCTTATACGGGTATAATTATATAAACTAAAACACTTACTGTGCAGTACAAAAATGGTGACTCATTTGACTTCTGACAGTAGGGTTTCCTTAAATCAGCTAGAGGCCACGTTCGGGTAACAATGGTATCTTTCTTTCGCTTATTGGAATTAAGGGTAGTCTTGGCAAATTAAATGCGGTTGTTTTGATATGGTGTATTATTCATCCCTGGTTGGTGCAATTGCAGTATAAAGAGGTAAATGGAAGAATGGGCTGTCAACAGACTGGAGCTTCTATAATTAGTAACCGGCAAGTTTAGTGGTTTGATATTACTGAAGATATAGACAGAAATACTTGCCTTTTGATTTGGCTTTTCTTTACCAAATAACTAATCAGAGTTCCAACTTTGGGTGGCAAACCTTGTTGGGTTAATCATGTTTTTAATCCTAAGAAGTTTATAAACCAGTTTGGCCAATGTCTGTTCAGTTCTATTTTTTTCACAGCGGTCCTTCAGACCCCTCTTGGAGCAGGCAGGGTTTGTGTCCTTCCGCTTTCCCCATCACTCCTCTACACTTGAAACCCCAAGTCATGCTAACAGATGAATAGGGATGGGTATGGCTTACTCAGACACTTCTCATTGCTGTTCCATTTTGCAGTGAGGTGCCGCTTTCCCTCACAGGCTAAATGTATTTCCTTCTTCACGTGCCAGCTTAGGAGCAAGAAAACAAGCTCAGATCTCCCACATGGTGGTTACTAGACTGTGCACCAGAATTCTCAATGAATAAGTGGGAATTACTAGTGGACATGGAATCGTTTTCTTTAGCATAGCCATGTAGATAAAAGCTTCTCAGCAGTTCTTGAGAACTTACAGTCAGGATTTAACTGAACACAGTGTGTTGCTGGCCATGCTTGCAATTCAGCTGTGTTCAGGATCGATTCAGTGGCCCTTGTGCCTTGCGTCTTTTCATCATGTCACTTGTCATGTTCCTCTAACATCACTCATTACACAATATGAGGTATATCTGGAATGATGAAAAAACGTCGGGCTAGATTGTGCAAAGTGCACACAGTCCTGCACTGGGTGTGGCATGGAGCTGCACAGCCGCGGTGTAAGCTCAGGGGGAGAGTGCGCCTTAGGAAGGCAAAGTTCCTTGAAGTTTCCCTGAGTTCACAGGAACTGTGTGGAATGCATCTTTCTCTGGGGTGGTATGCTCTTCCCACTGATGTGCCTGGCTTGCTCTGCTGCTAAAACGAAGGGAGTTCAGGGCATGAACCTACTTCCTCCCCACTCCTTTTGTGGTGGGACCACAGTTGTGGGAGGCCTGTATGTGGAAAGTGCCAGGCAGAGGTGGCAGGCTTGCAAAAATGTTTGTGATGCCCAGAATGCCCAGAACCTGCGTCCCTCCCCGACTCAAACTCTTCCCCCTACTGCCTGCCTAAGAATGTGGGTGGGGGAAGGGTGTGTTGCTCTGGGAGGGAGTTTGGGTGCAGGCTCTGGACTGGAGCAGGGAATGTGTGGACTTAAGGGGAGCAGGCTCTGGGAGGGAATTTGGAGATTGAGGTACAGGATGGGGTGCACAGGGCAGGCTCTGGGAGGGAGGATGCATGCTGGCTGTGGCCTGGGGCAAAAGGTGGGGGTCCTGGGAGTAGGCTCTGGGAGAGAATTTGGGGACTGGAGGGGGAGAGGGAATTTGGGGTGGGATGGGGACATGGGAGAAGAGGGTGCAGGCTCAGGAGGGAGTGGAGTGCACTACAGGGTATGGAGGGGGAGTGCCCCACTTGCATGGAGGCACCCTCCTCTGGCAGTGGCTCTTGGGAAGTTGGAGATGTCTGGGTGCTGCTGCCCCCAATGTGCTCCCTGCCACGCTCCAGTGACCCTGCTGGCAATGCAGCGGGGTTAGAGCAGCTTCCAGCCACTCGCTCACCTCCACTGCTGACATGTGCGTCCCTCTCACCGGGGGGAGCAGGGCCAGGGTCTCAGTGTTCTGCTTCAGTTTTTGTGGAGCCCAGCACTGGACCAAGAATTTCTGGTGTCAGGTCTCCACGGGTCCATATAACTTACCGCCTATGAAGTTGTTGGCCTATGGGGTTAATAAGAGTTGTAGAATAAGACTTTATCCCTATGCCATTCAGATATTTCCCCCATAAGACTTTGGAGTTGTCCTATTACCGGTACAACTTCCAATGTATCGTGCAGTGGTTTGATGAAATAGACATAGGCCACCACCTCTCAAAAGTTATTGGAAAGCATATTAGAAAATTCGCCTTTTTCAACATTGTACCTAGATTTTCAGGCTCATCTATTTACAGTATAGAGAGAGAAATGTGTCCCCCCATCTCTCACATAGCATTCCCTTTCTCCTCTAAAACTGGTTGCATACAGAAATACTCATTTTTTTGCTTTCTGTGTTCCTGTTTCCCACAGGTCTCTCAAATCATTCCTGCCAGCTAATTGGATCAGAGAAACCCATTACATAATACCTCTGAGAGATACTGCAGATGTTCATTCAAATATTGTAAAATAGAACATATTGCTAAAGAGTGGCAGAGTCAGAAGTTAATGGAAGTGTTCCCATAACTCACAAAGCAGGGTGTATTTTATTTTAAAGATGGGTTGATCTTCTCCTTTAAAAAGTGGGGTGTTATGTAATATAATTGGTAAAAAAAAATTGAAAACAGCTTTGAGTGGGTACCCTTAAAGGAATGACATGTTATTCTTATTAGACCATGTAAAATAGAATGTGTAGGTAATGTACAAGTGTTTCTATATTTTTCAATACCATATAATGGTGTAGGTGTCATATAACATTTGTCTTCACAGTCATGGGAACTGTTAGTTAACCATCTACCTAGCTAGGAACAAGCTGATGTCTAGTCCAGAGGTGACCCATGCCTACAGAAAGAGGGAACAAAGTGAGGCCACCCGGATTCAGCAGTTAAAATCTAGAGGGGCATATGACCCATCTAGGGGGGCACATATACCCCATATCCTCCCACGCATCCTATGTTGCTAGTCAGATCAGTTGCTGTTGTCTCTAAAGTCATAGCAATAAGTTACATTACAAATATAACATATTAGAAGGTTTACTTGGCATTGCTCGGGTCCTTAACTCAACTCAATTTTTGTTTTATTGGAAAATACAATGGAGATGTACATCCTCCATTTCAATCATTGCTTTGGGGCGGGGCTAAGCATGCAGGTGGCTCCAGCGAGAGAGGACTACCCCAGCCCTCTCTCACCACAGCAGCCTGGGACCAGGTGAGAAGCGCCTCTCCATGGCTGCTGCAGCTCCAGCCAGCACAGCCAGAGGAGGGGTGCACGTTCCCTGGATTGGACAGGTCCAGATTCATCTGCCCACTGCACTCTGCAGCCAGAATGAGGAATGGAGCAAATTGTGCACTTTCCCCTCGCTCCCTGACAAAGGGGAACAGCCAGAAATGTTCCCGTATGAATCAGGGAGAGAGGAGGGAGGGGAGCTGCAGCCCCTCCCATCCTCTCTAAAGCACATCTATAGAGTGGGAGACTCAGGGCTGGGGCAGCCCTAGATATGGGGGGCGGAGGCATACTCCCATCCAGCCCCTTTGACCCACTTGGTGATTTTTGTCTCGCTTCTATATGGTTTTAGGAGAAGCAGTCCCATTTCAGGCACATCCTGTTTTCCTAACATAACCAAACCCTTGCTTTAAGCTATAGTAAGAGGAAGCTGTATACCAAATTTGGTGGTCCTAGCTCTTGCCATTTCTTGAACAAATGAACACAGACAGACAAATGCTCAAATATATTATAGATTAAGTGGCCGAACTATCATCTCTCATGTGTGGTTCTTTCATCTTCTCTCTGAGGTGGGGGGAAATAATGTAAGGCTTTGTCTTTATATTTATTATGTGTTTTTATTAGTGATGGCTGATTGAAGATGTGCACCTTGCACTTGAATTGAATTCAAGTTTCTCACTTGCTCAGGGCTCCATGCCCTGGTGGACTGAACTGCTATAGTCCAGCTAGAAGACGATGAATGAATGTATTACTGAGGCCAAGTAATCATCCAACAGGATGGGATGCAATCTCCTAACTAGCCATAGGTAGTAGCATGATTTATTAGTGTTATAGAGGTTGTTCTGGACATGCTTAGCATCAGCATGGAATCCAAGAGCACTCCTAAATGTGGACTGTCTAACCTGTGAGCGTGTGTGTATCTTCAGCCACAGGAGATTGTTTCATAGCTGCAAACATCTTTGTGTTTACTTCTGCCAATAGCATAACATCAACTAGCTGAGGTTTATAGTTGTTCTTCATCCATGAACTGATCTCAGTCAGGTACTGGGTTAGCTTTGTGACAGTGGTGTTATAGGTAGTGAAAGATAAGAGTTGTGTGTCCCCTGCATATCTTGAGTCCACAATGTCTTGCTAGATCTCATAGTGGCTGCATGTAGATATCAGACAGGTGCAGTATTTTATCTGCTTCTAGAATAGTAATGTTGCTTTGACACAAATTTTAAGTTAACAATATTGCATGCTGTTCAGGCAAATGGTTGGAATGTCAAGTGTCTTACAGTTAAATATATGAAATCAAAGAATCCAGGAATGTGCTGTAGAATTTTGATATAGCCTAATTTAAATTATTTACTCAATTTAGACACAGCATCTTGACATCTTTTCTGACCCTCATAGACACTTAATCTCCCCCACCCCACCCCGTCCCAAAACCAGATTTCCTGCTTTTTGCTATAAAAAAGAGTAGATTACCTAAGTCTGTATCTGGATGTGTTAATCAAATATTTTTTTATGATTTCAGGTATTCCAAAGTTGATTACAGCTGATATGGTTAAAGAAGGTGCAGCTGTAATTGATGTGGGCATCAATCATATCCTTGACCCTCTGACTGGGAAAACCAGATTAGTAGGGGATGTGGACTTTGAAGGTAAGAACTGGATAAATTGGGTTTAAGGTATCTAGTTATCTTAAAAAATGAGCGAAAGTGAAATTAATTTGTCAAATAAAATGTTTTCTTCTCATCTGAAGAAGCATATTGAAGAAGCCAGAAGTTGTATCTAAGCTTAATAGGTACTCCATTAAAGAGCCAAAGACTGATTGTTTTTAAAGGAGACTGGTCTGTATAATTATAAAACACATGCTGGCACTGAGGGGAAGCAATGGCAAAAGTCTGTGGTGCCACCTGCTTTCCAAGTTTCCCTGCTCCCTTTAGACCTCTTGTGTCTATGACCACTAAGGCCATAGTACTGTAGCCCATCGATCTAAGTTATACAGCTTCAGCTACATTAATAACATAACTGAAGTTGCCGTACTTAGATCTACTTAACTGCAGTGTCTTCACTGTGGTGAGTCTGGCAGATGCTCTCCCGTCAACTCTGCCTATGCTCTTTGTTTTGGTGGAGTACTGGAGTTGGCTGGAGAGTGCTCGGTGGTCAGTTTCTTGCATCTATAGTAGACGTGATAAATCAACCCTTGCCAGATCAGGCGCTGCCCATTGATTCAGTGGGTACTGTAGACAAACCTAAGAGAAACTATTCCCATTCCTCAACAACTTAGGGACTCCTATGGCATATAGTATGTATTATGGTATCACTGGTCAAGCTACTGCTGTTAAGGTTTTCTCCACACTTCCACTGGAATACTGTATTTTGCTTAAGTAATTTTCTCCTACTAAGACTTGCTATATATAAATCGTTTGTTCCAGAAAATATCCATGCAAACAACCCTATCTTAGATCACAAATGACAATGTGCACATGGATCTCGTTTTACTTTCCTATTTTATGCAATGTATTGCCAAACAACTGCACAATGCGTCTTCTTTAACAATGTCTGCTTAAGAGAAACTCTAGACTGGAATAGCAGGATTGTTACAGTTCAGAATTAAAGTTTATTAGCAGAGCTGTGTGTGGGAAGCTTGTGCCTATCCATATTCTAGCTTTTGGTCCCTCATTTTGAAATGCACAAAATTCATTTACATTTTTTTTAATTAGTCTTGGCATACAAGCTCTGAGTCCAACAGCACAATTGTATTCAAAATGTTTTTAAAAACTACTATAGCTTCACATACATTTAAACTAGACAATCTCCTGTTTGTTTTACTCTCACACATAACAATCTATCGAAATCAATGAAATTACTCTGAGTAGAGCAGCAGGTTTCATCCTAGATATATTTTGGACACATATGTGAATTTGTATAATTGCATGTTTAAAATAGCGATGTATAGAACATTATAATTGTAGCAAATAGCTCTCTTCGCTTTCAGCTTTATATGGTACCATTTTACCATTCTTTACTTATTACAAAAAATGTTACATAGATGTTCAGAACTGCAACAAAATGTAGTAAAGTTCCACAAATTACTATTATGTACAGGGAAACATAATTTGCTTTTAAACACATTTTAAATGTGTAAGCCACATTTCTCTTGACTTCTTAAAAGATTTGCCTGACACTCTGAATACAGTATAAAACTATATCCAGATGTCCAGGTCATGATTCAAAGTTTCTGTATATGCAGACATATTGCTGTGCTGTGTATGTCTTGACAAGTTCTGCTGTGGGTTGTTCCTCAGGATTACCTGGGGTGAGGGAAGATCCCAGAAGGAGGGAGGAACTTTATTCACTTTGTTCACTTGGGTTATGCCACTGAAGTTACAGGTAGTACTTAGTTGCATATTGCCATAGGGAAATTATTTTGTTTTGATTAATGATTTAGTGAAACTTTCACCGATACTAATGAACCAGCAACAATCTAATGCACATAGGCTGTAAAGTAAAACTTTTGTATACAAATTATTTGACTTAGAGGTTAAAAGGTAGAGAAAGCCATTATAGCAAATGAACATTATATCGTAATCATATTCTGGGTTATTAAATATTTCCATTTTTCTTTAAGATGCTTAAGCTACATATGAGTTTTTACTCATAGTATCTTCAACTGAGCAGCATATCATACTGCGAATAAATTGATTCCCTGAATTATAATCAGTTAGTATACAAATCTCACCATTTGGCTGAATTTCATATTTATATACATCTGATATTTTTTTAAGTTGAATATCAGAAGCTTTAAATGGCCAGCACCAATATGCAGTTAGAATTTACAGTGTCACCTGGCTCCAGCCTCCCTGTCTTTGCTGTTCCCCATCCTTTATATAGAAAAATATGCATTAGAACTGAAAGAGGGGAATTAACTCTCTTTTGGCAATCCAAATGTAAATTTCCTTTAAGAGAAAGGTATAAGTGTGGCTTGGATTAATCAAGCAGGATGCTTTGAGGTCACCTGTGGCGTTAGTACCCTTTAACAGTAGGGTAGTTGCCATTTCATAGCTAACATCTTGGATTCCCTGCTCTGACAATACTGAAAGATGCTATTTTAAAGTAAAATAAGCTTTTGATGCTTTAAAAGTAGACAGTGGGGTGAATTCCCACCTCTGAGGGAGGGAGTTCGGGGTGGTTCTCTAGACCTATTTTTGAAGGTTTTTATAAAGTTTTACTTTGTGGTATTTATAAAGCTTATCTCTGTGCTCAGGGAAACTACAATACAACAAAGCTTTCATGCTGCACATTTGAGTGAAGATAAGGATCAAAATCATGAGGTGTTCATATTTATTTCTCCCCCACAATATAAGGAAAAACCAGATATCTGATGGAACTTAAAGGAAACAACCATACAGATGGTGATAGGGAATAGTTGTGCAACATACAAAACATTGTATCATTAGCCTGTGGCACTCCTTTCCACAGAGCATCATTAAAGTAAATAGCTTAGTAAATTTCAAAAGAGAAATAAGTATTTTGGTACAGCCCAACACATGCAGCACTTTATCGTGCACCAAGTATTCTGTGTACAGGAGTTGATGTCGAAGGATCACTGTGTTTGCATTTTTAAGTATTTCTTCTTTTTACTCCTAGGGGAGATTTTCAAAACCACCTGAGGGGCTTAAGCACAGGTTCCACTGGCTGTCAGTGAGACGTGTGTTCCTAATCCCCTTAGATGCTTTTGAAAACCTCCACTCCTGCAAATCAGAGACAAGTGAATTCTGTCCGCCTCCTCCCCCCACAAGCTCATAGAATCATAGAATAATAGGACTGGAAGGGACCTCGAGAGGTCATCGAGTCCAGCCCCCCGCCCTCAAGGCAGGACCAAGCTCCGTCTACACCATCCCTGACAGATGTCTATCTAACCTGTTCTTAAATATCTCCAGAGAGGGAGATTCCACCCCCTCCCTTGGCAATTTATTCCAATATTTGACCACCCTGACAGTTAGGAATTTTTTCCTAATGTCCAATCTAAACCTCCCCTGCTGCACTTTAAGCCCATTACTCCTTGTCCTGTCCTCAGAAACCAAGAGGAACAAATTTTCTCCTTTCTCCTTGTGGTACCCTTTTAGATATTTGAAAACCGCTATCATGTCCCCCCTTAATCTTCTTTTTTCCAAACTAAGCAAGCCCAGTTCATGAAGTCTGGCTTCATAGGTCATGTTCTCTAAACCTTTAATCATTCTTGTCGCTCTTCTCTGTACCCTTTCCAAGTTCTCCACATCTTTCTTGAAATGTGGCGCCCAGAACTGGACACAGTACTCCAGCTGAGGCCTAACTAGTGCAGAGTAGAGCGGCAGAATGACTTCACGAGTTTTGCTTACGACACACCTGTTGATACAACCTAGAATCATATTTGCTCTTTTTGCAACAGCATCACACTGTTGACTCATATTCAACTTGTGGTCCACTGTGACCCCTAGATCCCTTTCCGCCATGCTTCTTCCTAGACAGTCACTTCCCATCTTGTATGTATGGAACTGATTGTTCCTTCCTAAGGGGAGCACTTTGCATTTCTCTTTATTAAACCTCATCCTGTTTACCTCTGACCATTTCTCAAACTTGCTAAGGGCATTTTGAATTATGTCCCTATCCTCCAAAGAAGTTGCAACCCCACCCAGTTTGGTATCATCTGCAAACTTAATAAGCGTACTCTCTATCCCAATATCTACATCATTGATGAAGATATTGAACAGTATGGGTCCCAAAACAGACCCTTGCAGAACTCCACTTGTTATCCCTTTCCAGCAGGATTTAGCACCGTTAACAAAAACTCTCTGACTACGGTTATTCAGCCAATTATGCACCCTAGTTCAGGTTGGGTCTTTTCTCAATACTGACTTTTAATGTGCCTGGGATATCCTTACCTAAAAATCTTCTTTTCCCTTCCTTCTTCCAGTATCTGGGGTACCATAGATTTGGCAGGAAGGCTGCAGTCTGTGTCAATAAGGACGTTGTAGCAGATAGTAAATTTGATGGCTGCAACAATTCAATATTTGTACGAACGCTTAATTTGGCTCAATATGCTTACTACAACCCAAACCTATTAAAGCCATTTTTCTATCTAGATGTTGCTCAAATTCACACATTCACTCACTCAGGTAGTTCTGATTCTGGATCTGTTCTTTAGTACCAAAAGAGACCGTGCCCTTTGAAAGCAATGACAGAGGTGGCTATTGGGCACCTCTGACAATCAGGTCTTAGCTCCAAAGAAAAAACTTCTGCTGGCCTAGCTGCGTTGGTCAGGCATAGGATGATGTGTGACCCCAGACAGAGCTATGCTGGTAATAGCCCTAAATTGGCAAAACTGAGCTTTTGCCATTATAGCTTATTCAGTCCCCACCCCTTCATTCCCAAACAAACTAAGGGAAAAGCTCAGTTTTGCCATTATAAGCTGCCTTCACACTAGGAGCGAATTGCTGGGCTAGTATATCAGTATAGTTAGACCAGCAAAACACTCTTTGTGTAAAGTATCAGAAGGGTAGCCATGTTAGTCTGGATCTGCAAAAGCGACGAGGAGTCCTGTGGCACCTTATAGACTAACCGAAGTCTTGGAGCATAAGCTTTCGTGGGCAAAGACCCACTTCATCAGATGCAACTGACAAAGTGGGTCTTTGCCCACGAAAGCTTATGCTCCAACACTTCAGTTAGTCTATAAGGTGCCACAGGACTCCTCACCACTCTTTGTGTAGATATATAAGACATTGGTGGATCATATGAAAAACTGGCCAATATCTGCGGACATCTCTGCCATGTAGATTGAAGCTTTTGGTTGTGGAATATCCTCCAGGGTTTGAGTCTATGTATTTGCTCTTTCAGAGCAAAGTATGCAACAGAGAAGATGACGTATTGACCTAAGCATACACAAACAGAGCAGCAAATAAAAACCTGTACCCACCTCCTAAAAACCAATGCTTTGGATATATTTCCTTTCTACCCGTGAGAGGAGTAGAGTTAATGTGAGTAAACAATGAATGATTCTTCCCAGTTACTTCACAGAACACCTACATACTATGGTGCTAGACACTGCACAAACAGCTAGCTAGTTAGATCAGATGTGAGAGAACAAATTTTATGGGCTGGCATTCCTCTGACTTTCACCTATGTAAATCAGAAGTAGCTCCATTAGAAACAATGGAGTTACACTAGTGTGCAACTCCTGTACAAAAATGGTGAATCACAGACTAGATGTTCTCATAGGAAAAAAAAATAGTATTGTATGAAATATGTAATGTAAAAGTTTCATTTTAAATTGATGAGAATTTGGAATAATGTGCTAAATAGAATGTGCCAAGATGCTATTGTGACTATTGTACTTAGACCAACATATGCCTTAGATCAGGGCTACTCAACTTTGGAAACTCTGGGGGCCACAGTGATACTCAAAGCATATGCCGAAGGCCGCAACTTAAGTGTTGTTGCATATACATGCAAATATATATGCAAATAGCTTCTTTCACACTGACAGGCATGAATACAAAGATTAAGGCAAGACTACACAACACACAGGCCCCATGTAAATTTTTTTCACACACATTAATCGCAGGCATTTCCACACAGTGTTGCCCCTTTGAAATGCCGCCGGGGCATTTCAAAGGGGCAGCATGCACAGCTGATCCCGGGCTCTGCTCTGCGCTGTCCCTTTTAAACACTGCAACAGTGTTTCAAAGGAGCAATGCTGCATGGAGCCTGGAGTCAGCTGGAGACTCCGGCTGACTCCAGGCTCCGCATTGTGCTGCCCCTTTGAAACACCACAGTGGCATTTCAAAGGGGCAGCACCACACGGAGCCCAGTGTCAGTTGGACTCTTCTTATTGTTTAACAAAGTGATTAATCGCATGATTAATCATGATTTTTTTTAATCGCTTGACAGCCCTAATAATTATCATTGTTAAACTTTCTACAGGAAAACCATCTTCAGGTTGTAGATTGCATCTCTTTTTGTAAATAAGATGGTATAAATTGCATTCTGAATAGTGCCACAAAGAAATCCATGAAACATCATTTGGAAACAAATTGTTTTTCATTTGAGATACATTCTGTTTTTAATTCACATTAACTTACTCTCCCAAACAGGATAACAATCTTGATATGTGCCAACGTTACTTTGGGCCCAGCTACAGTGCCATTCAATGATTATGACATTGATTGGGAGACTGCAGTGATGTCTTTATTAAAAGAACACACCAAAATTAATAAATGAGTAGAAAGCAGTTTAAAATTCTAGAAGTAATAAAAGAAAAGGCAAATAATGTATCCAAGAATTCTAAGAATTACTGTCATATTTCATCAAATTCATTCTTTTTGTATAATGTAATCAACAAACTTTCATTGCGATTTATGATTCCCTTTTGAAAATCTTTTTAAAAACATGGCTGGTGGCATCAGTCAAGTAATTAAAATCCTATCAACCTTAATTACCACTACTAGATTTCACCCCAGAAGGGGCTTGATTTGATGCTACTGAACTCAGTGGAAACTTTATTGATGGTCAGTGGATGCAGCATCAGACCCTAAGTGCAAAAATAGTGTGGACAGATATCTTCATTGATAATTAATTGTTTGTAACATTAAAATTAACATCCTGTCTATTAAATTAACATCAACCCCTCATTTCCTCTCTGTGGTTTTTTCAAGATATTTTGTGTTACTCACCAACTGAGCACCAGATACAAATAAATTTAATTTTATTCCTCATATTTTTGCTGCCTAATTTTCTAGCCTTTAATCTGCATGGATCTCATATAATGCTTAATTTGAAAATAATGGTACAATTTCACCCCATTGTTGACTTTGGTGGGATATGCCTTTTTACATCAGAGGCAAACATGGTCCACTTAGGAAAAAGAGATGCTGCTTCTTAATCCACCTATATATGCTGTGAATAGATGCCTTTCCCAAACTGTTCTCCAGCAGAGTCCACACGTTATGCAGAGTTCAGCTCAGTGGCAAATGCTGTTTAGCAATTTCAGTTCACTCTGTTCTATTTAATGCATTTGGCAGGAACAACAGGGTTTGATATTTCTGGCAGTTACTTAAGAGCTAGCAATACCAATTCTGAAGCTGGTGCTGGGGAGGTGAAGATATACAACCTGAAAAAATCACAAGCTCTTCAGCATTCTGGAAAGTTTTGTGTGTAGAAATAGAGATGTCACATAGAGTAGCCAGAACTAGCACATAAGTTAATGGTTGCATCATTTGATGGGCTTTCCAAAAGTTAAGTGATTCTCTTGCAAATGCTGATCCAGGAGTTCTATTTGTTAACCTTATGCATAATATACAAGTACAGATTGAACCACTCTAGTCCGGCACTCTCTGGTCTGGAAACATCTGTGGTCCAGCATGATTTTAGTTAGCTAGATGTCCACTTATCATGGGTGTGGCCAAGTTTCCCATGGTCCCATAAAGTTTGTTTACAAGCCACCAGTCTTGGCACTCAGTGTTCTCCGCTGTTATTTAGCTCTAATTTATCCCTTAATGTTTTCTAAGAGCCCAGCAAGCAGTGGAAATGCTGGGAATGCTGCTAGACAATATTGACCTTACGTAGTTCATCAAATTATCTGGTTCGGTACCGGTCAGGTCCTGAGAGTGCTGGACTAGAGAGGTTCAACCTGCAGCGTATTGTGTCAAGAAATTTCATCTCCCAGTGCCAACAGGTTAACATGACCCTGTGTTTTCCATTTCACCTGTGTCCTTAAGGCAATTTTTTAAATGTCCTGGATGCTGACATTAGTATTTCTCATGAGTAATGAAAGAATGTCCTAATCCTGTGTAATGTTTCAGGGTTTGTGACTGGGCTGCTGGTGTAGTTTGCAACTGCTTCTTTGATTTGAAATTTTGCTGGGACTCTGCACAGGCATACGGGTCCGGTCTGCGCGCATAGTCTCCTCTAGAACAAACTGATCATGTAAAACTGATAACCCTGTGAGAATTTATTACTTGAGATACTGGATACGTTCAGCCCCAAGTTTGTCTTTTGGTCTTATCCCAGATCTCTAAGCCATGTTAACCAGTAAATTCCTCTCTTTTTTTTTTTTTTTTTTACTCCTCCCTTTTCTTTGTTGGACAATAAGTATTCTGGCCGCAGGCAGTAGGGCAGGTTGAGGAGAGGGGTTGGACTCACAGGACTCAGTCCTCAACTGCTTCCTTGCTGGTTGTACCTTTTTAGAATGATGGTGGTGAAGGCCCCTCTGTTGCTCTGTCCAACAGTCAGGTGACTTGGACTTCCTTATTTATTTCCCAAGTGAGATTCCCAAACTTTCTTGAGCTGTATCCCTGATTTCCAGCCGACGACATAGTAAAATCATGCACACTTTTGATATAGTAGAGCTTTGGAAAATGTATTGTTTGGAAATATTTTACAGTAATCTCTCTTTTTCTGTTTATTAGAGGTAAAGAAGAAAGCCACCTTTATAACTCCAGTCCCAGGAGGAGTCGGACCTATGACTGTCGCCATGCTCTTGAAAAACACACTCATTACTGCTAAAAAGCTCATTTACTAGAAATGTACTGCAACATTGCAAAATGAATCCAAGTTATTCTATTTATTGATACCACAAATCATTTATTTTTACTACAAATATATTTATTTCTACATTATATTTATTTTTTTTCATTTAAAATATTATGAATCGGATGATTTACAAAATGTTACAATACCTTATGTTACCTCCCGCAGCTGAATTGTGAGTAAAACAAAGCGCAGTCACAGCTTTCACATGTTTGGTTTTTCCGTGGGTCAATCTTGTTTAGAAAGAAATGATTAAGAGTAAACATTTCAAAAGCATCTAAGTCCTATTTTCAAAAGCAATTAGTTAGCAGTTCTTAATCAGCTATGAACCTAAACTTCATTGAAATTTAATGAAGCCACTAAGTGCTAGATCACTTTTTGAAAATTGAACTTCGGTTTCCATGTCATGTATTTTGAAAATTTTATTCTAAATCTTTAAATCCAAAACTTCTTTTGATGTCAGTTGGAGGTTGTGCATGTACAAGAAATGCAAGGTTCAAACCTAAGATTCAACTGCATGTCAGTAATGCAGAAATCATAAAGGGCTCACATTCACCATGTATGGTTTTAAAATTACAATAAGATTATGCACAAAAGGCCAATTTCTGATCTTATAGACATACCCAAACATAAGTGGGAGCTACGGGCACTAGAGTGGGAACCAGAATTTCGTCTACTTCAAAATCCAGGCTTTGTTAACCAAATGTATTGATACGCATGCAGTGTGTTGTATTCTTTTAAGCATGCTCAGTGTTTGATATGTTGTGATCCCACAATGTGATCCTGCCTGGATCACGTAGTAGGATCAGGACTGGGATTAATAAATGTAAATTGTAACCTAATATGGAAATGTGTCACTGGTAACATAAAAGGGAGAAAAAGTTCAACCAGAATGAAATAGTTGTGTTTAAAATTCTGAACTACATTCCCTCTCTCCTTCTGAGATTAGTTTATGTTCTTAATCTCTGCCGTAAGGTCCTATCCTAGACCCATGGGAGTTTTGCTATTAACTTTAGTGACCACAGTTACATACAGAAGGATGACATTGGGAAGAGGACACTACTGCTATAAAAATAAAAGGTAAACTGGGGAGAATAGGGAATATTTATCTGCATTCAAAGAAGGAATAAAAATGTTGATGCTCGCTTATTCGTTCCTTGAGAGAGAGGATCGTTTCCAAAACTGAATTAGTCAACAAATACAATGTAAAATTAAAATGGGAATGCCAATAAGTACCAATAATAAGCCATTCTGATGATTGCATATATTAACAATACAGAGTGCCCACTTCAGCTTCCTCTGAAGTCAGAATTGGCCATTGTTTACATCTCTAAATCTCTGTAGAGACATCTTATGATTTACTGTAATCATGAGCCACTGATGTTTGCCAGTAGTTTGTAGATTGTATGAATGAAAAAAAGCCCAAATATAATGCTGACTGTTTCTTCAATTTAAAAATGCACTTTATAAAATAAAGAAGTTAGAAAATTACATTGTACTGATTTTTCTTATGATGTTTTTTCTGTTTGGTTTTTACACACCAACTACCTGATATTTTCTCCAACAGTACATACAATACAAAAATATAAAGTAAAAGCATAGATGTATGCTAACATTTTTCTGCATATTTAGAAAAATTAATGGGAGTAAAATTAATGGGAGCCAAAACAGTATAAACCAAGGAAACAAAATTGTTCTGCCAAATGAAGAGAATAAAATTATAATATCGGGAATATGTGTTTTGTAGGGAGAACATTAGGAGTCTCAGGCATAAACAGTGGCAACACCCACGCGCAAATCTGTCCCAGTCCTGCAGATACCAGATTTTGTCTACGCTAGCACTTTAATCTGCAAAACTTCTATCGATCAGGGTGTGAAAAACAGACCTCAGACCAGCATAGGTTTCACCGATAAAAATACAGGTGTGAACAGCACTTTGCCTTCAGGACAGCGTCTCCTGACAACATAGCTACCGTGGCTCATTGGGGTTGGTTTCATTATGCCGGCAGGAGAGCACTGTCCTGCCAGCATAGAGCAGCTACACAGAAGACCTTATATCAATGCAGCTGCAGTGGTACAGCTGTGCTGCTGTAAAGTCCATACTGTAGCCTTAGGCATGGGCTTCAATTTAAATACACACACAAGCATGTGCAGGATCAGGAACAATCCTATTGAACCTACTGATGATAAAGAAGCCATCTTGTGTGTACAGTACTAGTACAGTAAAGTCCCTATTGAGTGAGTAGATGGGTGGATAGATTTAGAAAGTAAAGCTCGCTTGATCCAGCAGTGCTCCTGAGTTGTGACTTACTGGCAAGGGTTATCCACATAGGCAATAAAACACAAGCTGCGCCCCATGAATGACTCAGCACACCTTCAAAAGGTAAACACCTATTGGGTGTATTGTGTTCCCAGGAAAGTGAATTAGAATGGACAACGCCAGCATACATTTCTCTCCCGACAGGTGAAGCTTCTGAATCTAATCCCTTGGATCAGTGAAAAGTACACAACACAGAGAAATAACCTGAGATAGTGAGACTTGTATCACGGTATGTTTACATTGTGAAATGCTAGTCCCTCACTGGAGCTCTCTGTGGAGCAAGTGGACGTGGCTGCTAATGTTCTGTATGACAGTGTACGAGAGGAGCGATGAGACTTCTTGCACGTGTAAGTGCTTGGCTGGCTCAGGGTGTAGTTTAATGCATCCGATTAAATTAGTGACCCTGGCAGGGACCGGTCTTAATTGTAAACACTAATAGAAATGTAACTGATGAAGGACTATCTTCCAGGTATCTGGCCCATCTTAGGTACTTCTGTGGCTGGTTCCTGGTGTCCTTTTGGCCTGAGCTGTTAGCCAATATGCAGGGCCTGGCAGGATTGTTTCCATTAGGAAATAATGGGTGTTACGAGTGAGATAAATGTGTCAATGCAACCCTGTTTGTTTACAAAGAAGGTAAAGGGAGTCCTGTTTCCCTGCACACAATAAAAGCAAACAGAAGGAGTCTGTTTTCTCTCTCGCACCATTTCTACATCTACCTTCCTGTCCTGCCCGAAGAGACGCTCACTTGGCTTCCTTCTGAGGGAGGTCATGCTAACATTTCCTCTCTGGCTTTCTGCTTCTCATCTACATAACTCCAATCAAAGCATGGCTCGGTGCCTGCATTTTCAGGCAGTTCCAAGGAAACTTCTTGGCATGCATGGTTCATGGAATTGTAGAAGATTAGGGTTGGAAAAAGACAGAGAAGGTTACCTTGTCCAGCCCCAACTAAATCATCTCAATAAGAGATGGCCATGTCAAGCCTGGTTTTAAAAACCTTGAAGGCAGATGCCCCTGCCTTTCAAGGTAACCTTTTCCAGTACTTCACCCCTCTCCCAGTGAAATAGTTTTTCCTAATATCTAACCTAGACCTCCCCCACTGCAACTTGAGACCATTGCTTCTTGTTCCAGCCTATGGGTGGGCAATAATTTTTGAGGGGACACTCCAAAATGTTGGGAAGTGGTTAAGTGCTCCACTTTTCTCTGGAAGGGGTGCAGGATCTGGGGCAGAGATTGGGTGCAGAAGG